ATCTCATCTTCCCATTATCTAACGGTCATCATGATTTTCGGTCGTTCATATTTAGGGACTGTGAAATAGTGTATGATTAGGCTTGAACTAGCTCAGATGTGTGACGGGCAAACATAACCATCGTGCAGGAATGTAGTGCAATATTGAACGGGTCAATAAATAATTGCTATTTGATTATATATTCATGGTCTGTTTTAAAAGTAAAATTAACTTAGTTATATCTCCATCGATATCGTGTTTAGAACCACACAGACAAAATAACTGCTCACCATGCCTAACTAAGGAGATAAATAGGCTTCTTAAATGCAGAAACAGGTATTGGCATTTGTTTATTTCTAAACGCTCTGAACAGTGGAAATTCATTTATTTTAAGACCTGTAACGCAGGCGAAGCGTTGTTACGTAAGGTTAGAAAAGTTTGGTCACATACATTGTAGAATCTATTTCGCCGGCGGCTGTCCTAATCGCGTCCAATAGAAACACTCCGGTACGTTACTCCTAGATCCAGGTCCCAGCCAAATCAGAAGGTCAAAAATTCTAGGAGAAAACGTCTCTATATTGTTATAAAATGGAAATACAGAGGCTTACGGTATTTTTGTTTCTTCCAGGACTAAATTACTCCGTAGAGTATCTATTACAATAGCTAGTAAGTGACACTAAGTCCAGCAGCCACCGCGTCTATCCAAAAATGTGGCGGTAGCCATATTATATCAAATTTAAACAATATATGTACAGTTCAAAGGCAAACACAAAAACTTCAATATAAGTACAAAATATGGAAAGAATAACAACATACAATGGTAAAATCTCAAATTGGAATCAAATAAAATACCAAAAATGTCAAGAGAAAAAGTCCATCATGTCATAGCAAAAATATGTAAACATGGAGGGATTTTCCAAAACACAAAGCATTCAAAAAGAATTCTACACCGGCCCGCAAAATCCCTCCATGCAAAAACAGCAAGCGTTAATGACACCTTATTTAGGGTTCCCATGTTATCCCCTAATCCACACCGGAATAACGCGTAGGACTTACAGCAGTACGCCTACCCGCCATCCAACATGGATATGACCTATCGTGTTAACTAGGTTCCTATACTTTCCCATCAGGCCCTTGATTCCCCTATCTATCGTGGAATGACCTAACGGTAGTATAAACCTTACCCAATTAACCCATACGAACATGAACAACGCGTCGCAAAACTGGTCATATCCTATCCAAGGACTACATTCTCTATCATGGGGACGAGTCGCCAATCCACCACCACTTGCTCCGATCAGCAGATACCATGAAGTCCGTGATGCTAACTTATCAACAGAAGTTTTTGACCCATAAATAATATGCAAGGGTGGGATCTCCAATTTCGACATTTCATCGTCTCCAGAGGACCTTAAGTAGCATGACGTAGGATCAATATTTATCCTTCCATCTCCTGATGCAGAGGAGGTTTGAACAGTGTTCATCATCGTCGGTAACTCATTTGTCACATCAGTGACATCCAGTTTATTATCAACGTCTAATTGATTCCGTTCTGCATTAGCATCCGTTTCCTCGGCACAAGACATATGCTCAACAATAGCATCGTCATCACACAGCACTGTAGACTGGCTGTCACCACCAAACCCTTTCTTCTCATCATCACTCGACTGACAGTCAACCGTAATAGGAACAGTTACAGTTGCACAATCTTGTGCATCTTCAATCAACTTAACCTTCGTGACGAGGTCCGATGGCGTCGAAACACTAGGAGGCTCATTCGATGAAGTTGATAAACTAATCCCTATAAGTGAACTGCTGACACTTTCTATATCCTTATTATCACTGTCACTACTAAGGTTCTGATGGCTACTATTTCCATAGCTAGTCGTAGCATCCGAAAGAGCATGAGGTTCAGGCTTCTTAGTAATAGTAGCATCATGTCTCCTAGGCTTCTTAGCCGTTACTGTACCACCATCACTTATCCTAGAATCTACTCTAGGTCCAGTTATATAATTTACCCTAACTGAAGGGTTCCGAAAATAAGCTTTATTCCGTTCAGTCAATCCTGCCTGGGCTTTATTCATATTTGCTGAACTCATCAACCTCTGCTTACTCGAATCCAAATAACCATTCCAGGCTTTTCGAGCAGCTAAGAGGCTTTTATCATCACACACTTCGAATCCATCTTGATGCCTACACTTTTCACCTTTTTCCTTCTTTTCTACGCTTAGAAAAGCCATCTTATCTGTTACACCATCCGGCTTCTTACTAGGACACGCATCAAGAGGCTTTACATCGTTACGGTCACGTACTCGTCCTTCATCAGCGTATGCTTTCGTGATATAATTGACAAATCTCTTATCTTCCGAGCGTGCTTTAGGTAGAAACGAAGAATCCGAATGTCTCACACGCAGACCACTAGTAGCTTCCGTATTATTTCCTGTTTTAGCCTGATAAGCTAATCTTCCAAACCTACTACTAGCTATCTTAGCACGAGACATAATAAATTCCGTCAATTCGTTAAAATTGGGCTCTCTCTCCTCTTCGTCCCACTTGAATACTAGCTCTGCCCACTGGGCTTGCATTCGACGAGGTAGGAGCCTTACTATTCGTTCTAAAGTAGCCATAGAGTTAAGTTCAGCTGTACAATTTAACTGTTCTAAAGTTAAAGAAGCATTCTGCATTTTAATGGCCAAGTTCGTCAATGATTCAGGATCATTAAATTCTACATTCCCAGTTCTAAATAAGTCCTCTAAGGTTTCTCGCGCTATTACATGCGATTGTCCAAAGAGCTGTTTTAGAATGGCCTTAGCTCTCTTATATCCTGATTGTGGATCCATAATAATACAGCCTTCAATCGCATTTTTTGCTTTTCCCTTACAATAATGAATTAAATACAATAAACGCACTTGATCATCCTTGATTCGAGGTTCTATAAACGATTCTATTTGTCGTATGAACTTAAAATAGTCGCGAGACCTTCCATCAAAATATGAAAGCTCAACCTTAGGTAATTCTAAACCCTCTATCGATGACTTACAATAATAAATATCAGACATAACATGTGGGTTACCCATAAAAAGGTTATCACTAACGACTTGCCTAGAGCCCTGTGATCCGTCGAGCTCTTCCACCGTCCTCACGTGTGATTTTTTTCGGTTTGACATCATAAATAAAGTTCAATAAAGACGGTAACGAATACAAAATAGAGTAAATCCAAAATTCAGTTCAAAATTAATGATACGTAGTTCCAACTTCTTCCCCCAAGGAAGTCCAGTATGATAAACGATTAATATTCCAAATGTTTCCTTGTAATTCTTAATAATCCAAATAGATCCAAATTATATGCGTTCTGGTAAATATTTCCAGGTATAATTCACGCAAGAAGAGCAAATACCAGACTGTAGAATCTATTTCGCCGGCGGCTGTCCTAATCGCGTCCAATAGAAACACTCCGGTACGTTACTCCTAGATCCAGGTCCCAGCCAAATCAGAAGGTCAAAAATTCTAGGAGAAAACGTCTCTATATTGTTATAAAATGGAAATACAGAGGCTTACGGTATTTTTGTTTCTTCCAGGACTAAATTACTCCGTAGAGTATCTATTACAATAGCTAGTAAGTGACACTAAGTCCAGCAGCCACCGCGTCTATCCAAAAATGTGGCGGTAGCCATATTATATCAAATTTAAACAATATATGTACAGTTCAAAGGCAAACACAAAAACTTCAATATAAGTACAAAATATGGAAAGAATAACAACATACAATGGTAAAATCTCAAATTGGAATCAAATAAAATACCAAAAATGTCAAGAGAAAAAGTCCATCATGTCATAGCAAAAATATGTAAACATGGAGGGATTTTCCAAAACACAAAGCATTCAAAAAGAATTCTACATACATAAAGATACGAACTCAGAGAAATGATGCGATTCCGCCACTTCCGAATCAAGGAGGTACATTGACATTAACAAGAAATTATGTTGAATAAGCAGAAGCTCCGTCAGAATTTTTTCGTTAGGTATTTTCTATGAAAGATGTTAAATGGCCATTTATTAGTTTCGATAATCGTGAATTGTTGATGAACCGTTTAGTGATTAAGAAAGAAGTCGTCAAGGATTTGTTCAGCACCCTAGACTTGATAAGTCCAGTGGTCTTAACGATGTTCATCTCAGAATTATGAACGCTATGGTAGATGCAATTTCTGAACATTCTGCACTACTGTTTGATATATTTCTGAGGCAGTCTAACTTTCCAAGAGTTCGGAAATATGCAATTATCTACCCATTTTATAAGGGACTTAGTTCCTATCAACCTGTTGGTCCAACTGCTGTGATCTTCAAACTAATTGGGATCATTATTATTATTTGATCTATGCGAAAGAATTTTCAGGCCGGAGAACAATACCGTTTTAAGAAGAGTACTGCATGCTTGTCAAGTCTACCCATTGTAAGAAAACATTGGACTATAGCTAAGGCTAGTAATATTCCAGAAGACGTAATTTTTATAGATATAAGCAACTAGTGTGCGACAATGTCTCTTACTCAGATCTTAAACAAGAACAGAAAAGCTTAGAAACCCGTTATGACTTGTCTTATAAAGACAGACTGAGATGCTTCCACTTATTACTAACTTGCTGATTTGATACCAGAACACTGAACTATGGTTTTGATTTTAATATCTTAGCAACTTAATCAAATCCACTTTCAGAACACCTTATACCAGCACCATTTGATGCTTTCAAGGTGAGGCTGGATTTTCACAGTGTTATAAATTTCAAGGATTAATATCATCTGATTGTCCTCCTATATTTTTTATTCACTACTATGTAGGTCACTTGTCCCCGAACCTCATTTGAAATGTGTGACCTTGCTTGCTAATGTACGGGACCCAGATTCCCAGTTACCTATCAGTCTAGAGATGGCAGTTTGTAATAATAAAGGCACTATTGATAAGTGCCAAAAGTTTTTTGGCTGGGTCCCGGTGGTGTTTATACTTCTGATTGTTGGATGGTCGTATTATGCGTATGTGTATTCACTCTGTATCGGTAATTCGTCTATGCTATATTTCACTACTCTAATTTAGTACAGGTTCATTATGTGGTAGAAAAAGGTAACTCGGTACGCTGAGTCTTACTTTTAGTGTTTTTTCTAATATTTTTCCACTTGCTCCTGATATTGTTCTTGTGGTCTTACTTAAAGGCCATCATAGTGCCTCCTATTCAACCGCCAAAACAGGTTAGTTTCTGTTATATGTATTTTGTGCTTTGTTAACCAGAGTCTGATTTACCTTAGTTTTTGTGCCGCAAGCTATTGATTTGTATGTTACTAATATGATAGAACTTACCTATGCCCCTATTATTTTTGAAATTAAATGATTTTGTTCACTGAATAAAGATTGCCATAGCAAATTTGCTTAACACATTAGTCTGTCTTAATACCATAACTGTAGATTTTTATCCGAATTACAACTATAAATTCTGCTTAATTAAGACCAGCCAGTGTATTAGTCTGAGTGAAATTTGTGTCCAGATATATTTTGGGTGCTCTGGTTTTTTATCAGAAATCGTGACCTAAAAACGTGAATTCCTGACTTTTGTATTTAGTCATTGATTTCTAAAATGCTTTCGAAATGTGTTATTTTGACTTTTAGTAGCGAAATTCAATTATAGCTCAATTTCACTGTCAGTCAATCAGTCGTTTACAAGTAGGAGTTCGCACATACGTACATCATTTCAGGTTGCCATGCAACATTATCACAAAGACGCAATTGTCAATTTGAATCCCATAGTAGTAAAGATAGTAGCAGTGTTAGCGGTAATGAAGAAGATTGGGGTTCGAAGATATTCAAGAAGCATTAGCCACTGAAATAAATTTAAAGATAGAGAGAAATATGTGATGAGGAAATCAGACGATTAGGATTTGAGAGAAGCCAAAGAATGGATGCAACTACGCCATTGCGAGCGACTTTAAGCCATGTCGTTCAAGGTCTCTAACCAACGATAACTATGCAACCCGATCATGAAGCAAAATTTTGCATTTCGAGGAGGAAAACCGCATCCCAAACATGTTTGCATTGTTGCTTAGGGTAGTCAGAACACTGAATTATGTTAGCGTCTTCACCAAATAGAACTATTCCGTCGGCATATTCCACCATAAGTTCTAAATCGACCAGTAGTGTTCTAGTAGAGAGCTTGTATAAGGTTAATGTACTTCTTTGGTACATCTTTAAATGACAGACACTGCCATAGAACCTCAAGATCGACAGAGTCAAATGCCGACTTAATGTCGAGAAATACTACCATTGTGGGGCGTCCGAATGAGTGTCTTTGTTCGAAGACCTGACGTAGTGTGAATATTTGGTCTATACATCCACGTCCAGGTCGAAAACCAGCTTGGTTCTCTCTAGTCTGCTCTTCACGAGCTTTCGTTAAGCGTCGGAGTATTATTGAGACCAATATTTTATATACTATATTAGTTAGACTGATTCCTCTGTGATTGTCACAAGAGGATTTCTGTCCTTTTTTAGACAGGAACAATCAGCGATTGAGAACAGTCAGATGGGATTATGCCTAGTTCCCAGATTCTAACTTAAGATCTTAGTCAATCTAACTGCTAAAACTGGACCACAATCCTTAAAAATTTATGGAGTAGGTCTGTTAGGCCATACTGCTCTTCCTCGCTTCAGATTTCGTATAGCTTTTTCAACTTTATTAGGAGTCGGAGAACTTGTCACAGCATACATTTATGGCGCGAGATTCTTAAGTCCTAGATAACGAAGCCTGTTGCCCTATTTGACAGAAATTTCAAGCATTTAAAGCTCCAACTTTTAGTTTAGAGTGAGGTTCCAGGTAACCAGGAATAACGTTTCGTGGACTCGAAACGTTTGCATCAGCTGCGCGATGTGACATAGAGACGAAAGAAGGGTCGGTCGTGGGAATAAAAGTTATTTAGAGGTGTATGAAGGATTTGATTTTGACCATTTTGGTCTTGTGTGTTGGTACAGGTATGAGGATGAACGTTACTTCCCGGCTGCCCTCACCGCGGTAGGGCTCTGGTTGTTAGACGAGGCATCGACCACGTGACTTCCAAAGGAACTTGGCTTTCATTATGAGGTATCATGACTCTTCTAAATGAAGACCTAACTCCCAGGGCAGAGTTCAAATGGTTTGAATTGATTTTTCTTGTTAGCGTTTTTTTAGCGAGTTAGTTTTCTACGTGGTCAGTAACCCCATTCCTAGCCCTACTCTATCCGGGCTCAGGATCGGCAGTAACCCCAAAGGGGCTCCAGGCGGTGTTATGAGCGCATAAAATACTCTCAGATTGTCAGTACCTAGTTGGGTATGATGTTTTAGGACTCACGATATATTCTTCATGTGTGAAATACTTATAGTACTAGGGTACTACTTGCTCATTAGCTTTGCTGTCTAGTGATGGCCTTTTTATCACTTCTGTTTTTATATGCGCATATTTTTGTTACGAAATATGAAAATCGCAGATAAGTTTAGTCATTACTGTTTATTTAAGGCATTCATAAGTAATGAGCAACTCATCAACTGATAATATAAATATAAATTCGTAGTTTTAGTTTGAACTTTCACACAGTAATCTTAACACAATTTCTTTGGGTGACCTTTGTTGATGACGTTCTGTCTATCTTTTTAGTTGATAACCAGTAGCGCCATTCTCTGTTTAATTTCCGTCTACTTGTCTTATTTGTTTATCATAGTTCCACTTAACAAGTAGTGAATGGGAGTTATTGAATGCTGCAGTTGGGAAAGAATCTGAACAAAATGCTATATTAGAGGCAATAGTATCAGAACGAAACCTACCCATTTATCTTTCCGGTCCGGATGGGAAGATTCGTATGTGCAACGTATGTGCCCTAATAAAGCCTGATCGTTCGCATCACTGTTCTACCTGTGGAGTGTGAGTTTAATGTTTCTTATCTCTTAGGCTTATGATTTACGATGTTATTTATCTCATATGCTCCATTCTCTGATCAGCTTAACGCAATACCGTTGGTCTAGTTTTTAGTCTATACATTATCATTGTACAATTGAGGCTCATAGATGATATATATATACGCTCCATTTAACTAGGTGGCCATGGCTCACATTTAAAGCAGGACACAAAAACTTGTGTTTGATTACTGAGCTGTATTCAAACTAAAAAGGTGTTTAGAACTAAGTGATTTTAGTGCTTTTATGAGTTATTGTGAAATGGTTAGGACGAACTGGTATAAATTCACTATGCTAGACATCTTAAAAGGGACTGATTGAGTGCTGTTTCATTCAGCATTTTAGAAAACTTTAGACATCTTTGTGGAGTAATATAATATCCTTGATCATCCATGTCGTATAAATTTTGATTACGTTTTAAAATTATCTCCCTATTATTAAAAAAGCAAATCCGAATTTCTATCAGTGTTTTTCAATCTTCTAAATATCCTTCATATTCTTCTCTTTTAGATGCTTATTAAAAATGGATCATCATTGTCCATGGTAAGTTCTCCAGTAATAATTTCCGTGTCTTCATAGTGTTTCCAATAGGTTACTCTGGGTATTAGGATTCCGAGCAATGTAAATGTATCAAGTTATCATAGATTATAGGTAAATTTCACTTGAAATTTTATCATCAAGTGTAGACTTAATAAAACGTTTGTCAAAAAACTGAACAAACAATTTGACGGAAATTTTGCATCAAGCATATATGACACACTAGGTGTAAAAACTATGAAATAATTTTAGCGTTTAGAGTTGAGTTAATTTTGACTTTCCGCCCAATCAAATGGTCTGGGCTTCATAAAAAAATATTCAAAATCTAGCTATTAGAGATAAGGTTTAAAACAATTCTATGCAAACGCTTGTGCAATCATGTTCCAATTTTGATTTCCTGTAAAGTAAAGACATTTGATGTTCATAATGTGACATGTATATACGTGATATATATATATATATATATATATATATATATATATATATATATGCTATTGTTATTAAAATCCAGTATTCAAATCCAACCTCTGGCCACGGTTAGAAATAAATTAATCATCATTTCATTTACTATAAAATTAAAAGTACACATGAGTAAATTAGATTTATGTCGATTGATAATGGTTGGATAAGAGGTTTTATGCTAAATTAAAAGTAATTGGAGGATTAGTCTAAACAAAATAATTGACCAAATAATTAAACTGTTCGCTGTTGGAGGAATATTGTTACATACAGTATTGATGAGATCTTGTTTTGATTTGTTGATCAACCTCCATCATTGTGTAATATAGATAGGTGTGTAGTGTTATACAGTATTCAAAATTATTTGAAAATATTGAATGCCCTTGAACTTTAAATTTTCAACTGTGACATATAGTCAAGGTTTGCAACTAACTATCCTGTCAAAACTATGGACTTTTTTCTTGGTGTATTTTCTGTTAAAATTTACATATGAAAGCTAAGAATAAATCTTACTGAGATTTGTCTTTATTTTCGCTTTGTTGATTCAATTGTTAGTGTCAGGCGGTGGTAAGATACTACACTCGTTGAAGAGGTAAAAGTGGCATTACCGTTTGATAATCGTCTTTTTGAAACATCTCTGAGATCTGCTAGAACTGTAGAATAAAAATATTCTTATTTAAATATAATTTTAAAGGTTAAAAACACCAGAGTAGTTAAATTTCATTCGTTGAAAGAGTATCTAATTTGCTGCATATATTCCTTATCTGTCAGAAAGGATAATAATGCTGGTAGTTGGATTCAACAAGGTCTTATAAGGTTAATCAAATAACAGTTAGTTATTTATCGTTTTTCTGAGCATGGGTCAACTTTTGAACTGTGAAACGCAAAACGAAGATTAGGTAAATCGGTGATAGGTCTGTAATTTTTAGTTGTTGATATAATTACATCTGAACTAGTGTTTTGTAGATTTTAACTTGTGTCCATTAACTATTCATATACATCCATCATTATATTCCTTGAAGTGAAGAGTCACGAATCACATCTCTTCTGCTGGAATTGAAGTTCCTCAGATGTTAACCTTTGGAAGTAATGCGTGCTTACTGTTTAGATAGCTTTAGAATTTCCACGTTTAGCAGTCGTATTGATTTTCTATAGACTGTTAGTGTTTGAGGTAGTAGTTACACAGCAAATATCTATGTTTTGTAATGAGTATTCATTTACTTATTTATATAAACGTATTTTAGAATGGTTTGAAAAATCCATATTGTAACTCGTTTGAATATTTTGAATTCTTAACATTCACATCACCTAGGAACGGTTGCTAGTAGCTATTTGTATATAATAAGCTGATTGATTCTAACTAGTAGAATATAAGAGACGACTGTTTAGTGGCATATTACTAAAAGAGTATTTATCAACTAAAATGTCACATAAAAAACTCTTATCATGATTGAATGTCTATACTATTGGGAAATTATGACCAATTATTATTTCATAAAAAGTAGATTTCCTGGTTATTTTATGGAAGTAGCAGTAGTAGTATAATGATATACTATTCTTTATATGGACTGTTTTATCAATAAAATTTCACTGAATGTCTAAATGCAGTAGCAAAATGAATAGGTATTTTTGTAAATGATCCTATAGTATTATTCGTACTGTTAAAGCTTAGTGAACGTCTTAAATTCTATGTATTAGTGTATATGCCATATATATGAGTGTTAATTATGGTTATTATTACTCGGAAAAATTTATGTTAAGTGACGTATACGTTGGGTATCGAATGCTTTACACCACAGTTTTGATTTTTAATTCATCATAACGAGTAATTGGTAGTGTAAATGGGACTTTTCTAATAAACCATTCGTGTTTGTTAAAAGCTAGAACAAAGATATATCTTACTATTTCGTCCCCAGTTTCGGGTTTATCAAGTTCGTAAAACAGACCTTTTTAGAAACCACAAATCATGGTACTTTAATGTACTGGAAAATGCAACGACTTGTTGCCTAAGTAATAGGTATTTTGGTGGCACTATAATTTATAGATGGACTTTGACCGACACTAAGATGACCTTGCACATATTCATTTACTTACTGGGTTAGAAGAGAGTTATTAATTTGTGTGAGGAATTAGTAATAGGATTCACAGTTACTTGTTAAGGTTAGGAATAAGAGTTGAAGGTTTTCGTCACGAGCTGACATCAGCTATAATGAAGAAATGTTATTTAACCATATAGATAAATGAATTTCGCGCTGAAACCCAAGACTTTCTATTTCAATCGTGATTGGTTTGTCCATAAATTGTAATCTTACCAACATTTTAACTATTTTCTTCCACTAAACCATTCTGTCAGACGGCTCAGAACAGAAGCCAAGGGTGATCACAGTTAACCCGTTTTGCCTACTTCTGTTTAAGCAGTCAGGTAGTATTACTAGCTCTCATACAGAGAAGTGTTTCTTGAACAAAATACCTAAACATTAACTCGTTAAATAGTTGGCATGGTTATTACCTTGTCATTGTTCTTTATCTTCTATGTTTTTCTTTATTCTATTCTTACTTCAGGACGAATAATTGTATTGGATTTCATAATCACAAATACTTTATTGTCTTTCTGTCATGGGGTGTAATCTACTGCTTTTTTATTATTTGTACATCAGCATCATATTTTGCAGAATTTTGGAGAGTAAGTTATTCGAATTAGTCTCATGTTCATTGTGTATGATTTTTTTTCAAGTCATTTATTTCAAATTGGTCCTTTTGTTATTGTCTATAATATCTATCAGTGATTGATTTATTGTTTCAATGATATAAAATATTTTAATTCACAACAATCCCAAAATCATATTTTTTTAGTTTTCTAAGAGTTTATTTACTTTAAATCTGAGTATATTTTTGTGATATTAATTTAGGTTTGTAATTCTAGAGCCTGGTATGCATTATATATATATATATATATATATATATATATATATATATATATATATATATAATGCATACCAGGCTCTAGAATTACAAACCTAAATTAATATCACAAAAATATACTCAGATTTAATGTCATGCGTATTTATTTACCAGTTATGTTACTGATATATCGTCTTACAAAACTGTTTGAGGAATAATTATTACTACCAGCTGAAACTATTCGGAAAAACAGCAATAAAAGCTTGCTATACATTGGGTTCACTGTTTATTTCTAGTTTGAAGCCTCATAACATCGTCAGTTCGAGATATTTAAGCCTGATCATTGACATGTCATGTTGACCTTTCGTGCTGTGATTCGTTGGAATGGTAACAGTTCTGTTATTATGCAGTTCAAAAGATTTTCATTATTTTTCTACTGAGCGTGATAAGTTATGAATTGAATATAGTTTGTTGTATTTTATATATTCGCTATTATTGTTGCTCGTCTGTTAGTAAAAAGAGAAACAAAGCGGAGAAATTTCATAGAATATAATGTTTTTTTCTTTGGAATTGCTTCTTATAAATTGCAGTCGCTTTAAAAGATCATAAATAAATGAACGATATTTATGAAAGTCCATTGTATTGGTTGTTTGAACTTTCATATTAATGTTTATGGATTCAATTGGTCAGTCTATTTGGGCATATTTGCATCCTCTGCAGATTGCCTTGATATTGCCATAATAGGAAAAAAGAGACTGATCGACTGTTATCCTACACATCAATGAGAAGTTGCATACGGCCAATACAAATTGTTTGGATTATCTCGTTTATATTTCTTACTGAAATCTGTTCAGTCTTGTTTGACATGTGTACATCCTGTATGGATTGCTTCGATGTAACCATTATGACACAAGCCGATATAGAATAGATAGAATATGACTGGTGGTGCTATCTGGGATGCGCGTTTCGTCCTATTTGGGACTCGTCACTTTAATGTACCAGAGTGTGTCTGGACTGAGCAGCTAAGTGGATAATGCGATAGCGTTTGGAGTAAATGTTTCTGGATTCGAGTTCCGAGATGGACATTGATTCTAAGTTCAATTGCTAGTCATTACCCATCTCTGCTTATGATATATATTTGATAAGAAAGCTTTTTGGTCTTATCATCTTCCTCTAACTTTTGAGTTTAAAGTAATAACAATAATAATAATAATGATAATTGTTATTATCACTATTATCATTATTATTATTATTACTCATTACTTATTATTTTTAATATATACTCTTTTCACCCTTCATTTTTATTCTTCCCTTTTGTAATATATTTTTATATTATAATATATTGTCGCGGTCTTTAAGAAAGGACAAAAATCCTCTTGCCGCTTATCACAGAGGGATCAGTTTAACTATTATAGTGTCTAAGAAATTGGTTTCATTAATGCTTCGATGCCTATCAAGGGCTCATGAAGAACAGACCCGAGAAAAGCACTCTGGTTTCGGACCTGAACGTTGATGTATAGACCATATATTCATACTGTGTCATGTCTTAGAACGTAGACGCACGTTCAGACGTCTCACAGTAGTTGCGTTTCTGGACATTTAGGAGGCATTTGACTCTTGATCGTGAGCTTCTATGGTAGTGTTTGTCACTGAAAGGAGTACCAAAGAAGTACTTTAACCTGCTTTACTAATGCCCGACCACAGACTGCCTCGACGAGCTATATTTTTTGGTGAAAAGGTAAGCTGAAAGAAACCTGAGGGTGGCCAGACCAAAGCATTGCATAAATCCATGAAGATATTGACAAGTGAACTAAGCCTTGTTAGTGGGTGTAGACTACCTAGTTGGGGTCCGCGAGACTGTAGTAACCAATGGTTAGAGACTGAATGACATGTTTCAAAATCGTTTGCAATGGCACAGATGCATCCGTTCTTCATCTTTTCTCAAATTCTAATCTTTTGAATTTCTATTGACCTTCATCTTTCGCTTCTCGAATATATTTCACTGGATTATACTCCTCGAATCATATCTTCGAACCGTAATATTTTTGATTATTGCTAGTACTTCTGTTACTTCCACTACTATGGGACTTGGATTAACAATTCAATCTCTTTATGTTAATATGGTATGGTAAGTTGGACTGACGTGCTTACGTAGGACGTTCTACGTTGTAGCTGACTGACTGACTGACTTTATAATATATTCTTTGTATTTGGTTTATGTCTGTTAGATTCTTCTAATTTTCCTCTTGGTAATTCCCTCATTATGGCTTTGTATTACGTAGTAACATAAATATATTCTGATTTATGCCAGGTCTCGCACAGAGAGAGATTTGTGCGTTGTAGTTATCTGTTCATTTGATTACATCTGTAAAGTTTAGTCTGTAGTTGAGTTGACTTGTTAATAATTATTTCTTGACTGTATATCTATATTTCAGTCGGCGAATAATATCACAGTTGATCGATTTCAAGTGTTATTCCTTTTTATTGTGGCTGCCATGTTTGGTCTATGTCAACTTGGTTTAGCTTCATATCATATGTATTTGGTCGGCATAAATCTATCAACTTTAGGTAAGTAGTTCACTTATGTAATGAAAAAACCATATCATAAATTTTTATGTTATGTTTTCATTTGATCAGAATAAAATGTTTTAAGATTTTGTTGCTCAGTCAAACAATTAATAGATAAGTAAAAAATGAAAAAAAAAGAATATTCTGTTTAATTAAGTAACTAATAATATTTTTATCACAGAGAAAAGACACTCATTAAAAATTTGATTAGATTGTTCAATGAGGCTATTGTGTGTTTAGACTATAATCTCACAATTGAGATTGAAAATGATAATTGAATAATTTAACTTTACTTTGAAAACATGTAAGCAGATCAATTGAATGTAACTTAATTGCAAAATCTAGATTTATATATATATATTTATATATATATATATATATGTATATATATATATATATATATATATATATATATATATTTATATTTATATATATATATATATATGAATGTTTAGGCCATACTATATGTGTTCAGGTTATAGTGATATTAACTGGGCTGTCCATACTAATCTAGTCGAAACCGGATTCGAACACTTACACCCTACTAGTTGATAACCGACTACTTTGACATCTGTGCTACACTAATACTACCTGATTGATTTTTTTTCTTCAAATCATGTTAGATTTCCTTATGCATGTACTACTTGCCATCTCCCCTAGCCCTGTCAAGTATCTGAATATATCATTTTAAATGATATGAATTCCAGTGTGAAGACTTATTCATCAGATAATTATGATTGACCGAGAAACAAATAGGTTGTTCAATGGCTTAATTATGAAGTGTATCTGCTCAGTTTCTCTCTCTCTCTCTCTCTCTCTCTTTTAACTTTATTAATTACGTTTTTTCTGTTTACATACTTTGGTATTTAGTGCATGTTAAGTTTTATTCCTTGATGAGTGATTGCCTCAAATTTATTCTATTACTTGGATGGTATCATGCAACTAATATAAAGTGTGAAGCATTAAGTACACTGTCATGAAGAATGCACTATATCATAACCGAAATCCACTTGTTTTACATTAGAAACAGTGTTTTTTTTATGTCATAACTAATAGTTATCCGAATCATACTTCCTTCTTTTCCTTTGTAAACTTCCCACTTCATTTTGTTATTTTTTTCAACATGTAAAAGGCGTTTTGTGTTGATTCTGCAAGATTATTTGAAATCTCAAAAAATCAAAACGAACTTTTCTCATGCATCATACTGAGATACATAAAGTTGTTGTTGTTGTTGTTACATTCAACACTAATAGAATAGTGACCTAATATATTTCTCTTCATGTGTATTTTCTTTCTAATTCAAGCATACACATGTGTGTAAACATCATTGCAAAAATCAATCAATATAAAGTGTGTGTAAAAGACATCAATAAGCTTTTTATTTATTTCACACTAGAGAATTAAAGTAGGTGGTATAAAAAAATCAAATGGCCTCAATAAAGAAGATAAATCAAAACAGCTTACAAATCGTTAGTTATTGATCCGTTTTGATGATTCTCTATTATTAAGTCAGTATGACTAACAATTATGCAGTTGTTATTATTTTTTTCGATGTCACTACTGTAAAATTACAAAGAAACATGAATCATCAAAGTATGAATGCCTCAATTATTATTCATTGTGTATCAACAAAAATCACAATGACATTTTTTTCATATTTCTGTTTATTTTTCATTGTAAATAATTTGGAACTATTGATTCTAACCAATATGATTCATTATAAAAGTGATGATAAAGAATTCACTTTGAGTTAAACCATTAGACATAAATGAATAGACAAAAAAAAGAAGGAAAAAAGAAGAAATTGTCATTCACAGTAAGAGAGAAAGAAGAACGCGAATTTGATGGATACAATTGACAATTTTGATTGACTGTATTATATACATATATATTGTCAGTTGAATTAACTTTTAAACCATCTGCTGTTGAAGCAAATACAACACACACACGCACCCACACACACACACTCATATTATGAGGTATTTGCACAAGTTCAATTTTGTATATGAATATGAGGAATAATTTTTATTTCACAATTGAACTAAATGACGAGTTTATTGCATCTCATAGGCAGAATTAGTTTATTGATGAAACAGTTTATTGATTTATACAAATTAGTTTATATCTGTGGAAGAAGATGTAAACCACATGAAATGTGAATTTATTTCATTTTAAAAATGTTGGTTGTGTTTTTAATTTTTTTTCTTAAACTTCTCTCTCTTTTTGATGATTCTCCTTAATAACATTTTGCTAATTTTCTTCACCATAGTATAGTTATTATTGATTTTGTAATTCTATAATTTTTCTTACAGAAACTTTTCATTATCCAAGATTACGTGGTGGTCAACCAGATAAAACTTTATTTAATTTGGGAATAAAAGAAAATTTCCATGAAACATTTGGATCTAGTTTTCAATTAGCTATACTACCAGTATTCACTACGTGAGTTGATAAAATGTTCTTTTTCTTTCTTGTTGTTAGATTTGTCAGATTATTTTTTTTTGAACCATAGTTTTATTATATTTATCAAGATTGGTATTATTTCATTGATATGGTGTAAGAATGAACTTTTAGTAGTAATGATTAGGTTTTAATATATGCTCATTGTCTTCTTGAAAAAAAATTGAGGCTTGTTAATTTGCTGTGAATTATTTTTCATGAAATAAGTTCATTTTAAAAAAATAGTTCAGTCATCCGTTATTATTCCTCATGTTTGAACTCTTTCTCTACAATGATGAAAAGTAATTGTAATTTTAGGTATTGGATTCTGATTTAGTGACCTCGGGGTTAATCACTTGCCGCGGGACATGAAAGTCGTGGGGCTGTCAATCTCTGAACTAAGTAATGTGACACTAGTCACTTTTCAGTGATTAGTCATTTAACCAATACATCAATCTTAAAGCAGGTTAGTCACAGCCTGAATTACTTAGTGGTAAGGTCTGTGACTGTGAAGCTGGGTGACACTAGATTGACTACGCTAGGGAGCACTAGTTCTCTCAAGATTACAGGTGCAACTTGCTAGCGACAACCAACTAGAATGTAATCTGGGTCCAGTTTTCCCTTGTTGATTATCCTATGTAAGTCGAATTCTATGGATTAACAGTAATAAGGACTTACATATATGATATTAATCAGTATTCAGTGAGTGACCAATCAGTTGGAAAAACCTCATTAAAAGTTAAATAAATTTGTCAAATAGTTTTCATTTTATTGTAAAGTTGACATCCTAGTTATCATTGCTTAACAAGTTTAGTTGATTAGGTAACCCTCTTTTATTGTAACTGACTATTATCTGTTGAAATATATCAGATGTTTGCAAGTATTATTTGTGTCTGTTATTGGGAAGTTTTTGATCCAGCTTGTCAATACATTCTTACTGTTTAGTGTTCATTTTTGCAACTTTTCACTTTTCCACATTTTAGTCAGTCGTTTATTGCTCGTATAGTCAGCTGGTCATTACACAATAATTGTTTGCCATCTGGATATGTTGTTGCAGATTAGTTAGTTGGAATGTGACTGAAAGTAGTTGGCTCAAATTAGCGATTCATTTGCATCAGTGATCCTCATAGCTTAATCAAATAGATTTGAAAGACGAAACCACTTGTCATGTGATTGAGTATATGAATACGCATTAAGACGTTAGACTTAATATTGATTATTGTGAAATATACAAGCTAAAAAGTGTGATTGTGGATGGTAATTTATCAATTAATAATTGAATAATCAATGGTGAAAATTAGGTTAGAGAAAATGGATCCTAACAAAAAAAGATGATAATTTCTTGACAGTTTGTTGATTTTCTTTTGGTTATAACGTTTTCGCGTTGCGGGGTTGTTGTGAAGATTGTTAAGCTTTATTTGTAACCGTGAATCGATCATTGTTAGACCACTATTAGAAACCTGGAAGCACTGGACGGCCGTTTCGTCCTGGTTTGGGACTCCTCAGCAGTGCGCATCCCATACCAGGACGAAATGGCCGTCCAGTGCTTCCAGGTTTCTAATGGTGGTCTAACATTGATCGATTCACGGTTACAAATAAAACTTAACAATCTTCACAACAACCCCGCAATGCAATGACATGTGTCCACTAGTGACTAGCTTGGTGAGGAATCTTCTCCGAGTTCTAGTGGGAAGTCGTGACCAGTGAAGTTCAAACCTGTCCGGATGTATACAGGGTATGAGGTCGCGCAACTCCGTGGATTTGATCAAGTTAGACATTAACACCGTTAGATACCAGCTCAGTGGTCTAACGGTTAGGGCGTTCGCGCACAAAACCGAAGGTCCTGCGGGGTGCAGGAGTCGTGGATGCGCACTGCTGAGGTGTCCCATACCGGGACGAAACGGCCGTCTAGTGCTTCCAGGTTTCTAATGGTGGTCTAAAATTGATCCGTTCATGGTTACAAATATAACGTTTTCATTGAAAATTTTCCGTCAGTAGGTGCTTTGTACTTTGTACTACAGAATTTATTGTTTATCATCTAGCCCACCATAAGTTATGTGTAATACGGCAGATTTTGTATTAGGAGTGACATATTAAAGTGATCTCCATTAATAAAACTGAGTTTTCGACTTCCAATGAACATCACTGAAAAACAGCTAATAACTTCACGAGCTAGTATTACATCTTCAACTTTCTTTCAAATAGCTTCTTTGCTAACCGTCATTGTAGATCAGAGTAAGTGGTTGAACAGACTTGTATCAGCTAGTCATTCATACTCAGCATAGAACCTGTCAGGTTCGTTGCAAGTTGTCACACCTCATTAGCACAGCTAGATGAAATCTCATAATAGAGAGAGATTAAAGCATGTGTATGATTATAGTATATGCATAGATGCCTTGTTTTTTTTTAAAATTTTCTCATCAATAATATTCTTAAATACTGTTGATAATCATAATGATTTTATTTGTATAGGACAAACTGTTTGTATGCTTGAATGCGCATGTGATCTCTTTCTATGATATTTACTTCTATTTAATAGCTTTTTCATTTTTTTTTACTTTGTGATCAGTGTGTTTTTAGCAAATAATTCATGGAGTTATTTTATTTGTTCATTCATTACTTATTATTTGGTGATTACTTATGCTGAAATTTAATCTTTTAATGTTCTGTACTTTATTGATCATTTTAAAAAAGAGAATGCATTAACAGACTATAAATTGTTTACATTTTATTGTATAAACAGCGTGCTACAATTTCATAGTATGATTTTCAGTTGTATTCGAATATTCTTACTGACAGACAGGACAGCTTACAAATTAGATGATGTACAAGAAATACTTGATATTCTGTAGAATAAATGATTGTAGTTAAGAGAAATTCATCACTTACAATTTTTTTAACTTTAACAAATTAAACATTCAATCATATCAAAATCACCTTTGCAAAAAACTTATTGCATTGATAATGATTTTTAAGTGCATGAGTTTTAGTGAAATCGAAGTAACAGAATTTTGATGACCATTCAGTTTCTTTATAAGATGTAAGATTTCACTTAGTCTTACATGAGTATATGTTGTCGTTTTTAGGCACCATTAAACTGTCATCATCGTCATTTATTAACCTAAAGCTCATCAATTACCAATATAAATCCGATACTTTAGAACGCTTCACAATTTTTTTGCTCCCTTACTGGTAACCTATGTAAGATTGTTGAGGATATTGATGTACGTTTTTTTAAGTACATTAAATCTTTTTATTGAATCGTCTCCATGTTTGGATGATGAATATGGTAAAGAGCATTCAACTGAAGTTAAAAAAATGTATTTTTCTCAGTTTTACTAATGTTTCTAACAAGTCTTCTTTTTCAATTCAACCAATAATTGGTTGAATTTTTAATAGTTTCCTTTAAACTGTAAACTTTTCTGCACAGTAATCAAATGTGCATAGAAAGTGGTCACCTAATAAAGAAAAAACCAAAAACTATTGAAAACTCATTAAGTAGGTCAAGTTATTCATTAATTCATCGATAGAAAATTCATAGAATTCGATCGTTTTTCATATTTTAGCGCTTAATAGTGTCATGTCATACAGTTTAAGATTTGAACAATAAGAACAATCACAATGTCTTTGAACAATGCATGAAAATTAGCATTTTAAGAAAGTAAACTGTAAACAGTAAAGAACAAGCGTCTTTAATAGCTATAGATACGATGAATGATTGCTTTATCACAAACGAAATCATATTCAGTGCATTAACTTTATTTTTTCAGATCAATATCTTGTAATATTAGTGCACTATGAAGGATGATTTTATCGATTTTATTGTTTCTTCTTAGCTGAATGATTTAATCTTGCAGCTTTTAATAGAAGTAAACACTTGCGGACGTATATTTGACTGTAAAAAAAAACACTGAAATCCTGAACAGAGACAACAAAAAGAATAGAAAGTTTCTGGAAAGTTGATTCTCAGTTCAGTTAACATTTTGAAATAGACCGAGGTTATCAATCAATCAGAAAAATGACAAATAACCAGAAGGTCAACCATCAGATCTGTTGGAAAGATAATCAAAATAAAAATGCAGACAATGACAAGCGTAGACTAAGTCTATTTAAATTCATCATTAAGAAAAATAAGCTGTTATTCCCCTTACAGTCTAACGTTATACCAAACATAAAAATCTAATTTTTAATCTCTGAGGTAATGATAAACACCTTTGTTTTGGTTTATGAAACTTAGTGCTTCAGACTTGTTTAATAGTCCATTCAAACGCACATATATAGTTAAAATGCATTGTAATAGACTTCGAATCGGAATGTGAATTAACGTGAGAAAAAAAACAAGTTGATACAGATTATAAACTACTAGTAGAGTTATACAATAGATAATAACTAAGTGATCATTGTGCAGGTGAGTCCGATTGATCTCGAAAACTTATCTCATTGTCAAGTTCTTGAATTTCTACTGAAGTTATTTCAAAATATCTTATAGTTACTAATTATATCGTACTCAGCATTTTTGTTCATTTTTTCTGTTCTTCTAATTATTATTATATTATATTTGCATTTTTTTTAATCCAAGATGTTAGGCTGCAATACACTGATCTTGTCTACAGTAGGCAGTTACTCATAGTAATTGTCTAAATCATATAATTTTTCCAATTTTATTTCACAGTAACCGGTTACTGTGTCGCAATTTTAATGTTAATTAAGAATTTTTTATTAGACTCTTATGTGTGTGCACATATCTAAATAAGATCAGTGTCTTTAAGCTTTTTTTTCACTTGAAGTAAACAAATTCACTTTTATTCACTTGATTAGTTTAACTGGACAAATTAATGCTCACATGATGTAGCCATAGCAACACTCTTTAATTCAACTGTATCACAATACTTAGGCATCTTTAATTGACCACTTTTTCGTTGACCAATCAGTTGAGCATAATTGGCTTTTGTTAATATGCTTTTCAGGTAGATCAAATAATCCTTTAGTTTGATTCTAATCGCTAAAATGATAATACAGTTGGATAACATACAATATCAGTCAGGCAGTCAGTCAGCTACAATGTAGATTTCCGTACATACCTACATCAATTTAAGTTGCCATGCCATGTTAGCACAGGGATGCAATTGTCATTTTAAATCCTACAGTAGTAGAAGTACTAGCAATAATCAAAAAGATTACGGTTAGAAGATATTATTTGAGGAGTATAATCTAGTGAAATAAGTTTGAGAAGCGAAAGGTGAAGGTTATGGTGAATTCAAATGATTAGAATTTCAGAAAAGATGAAGAACGGATGCATCTGTGCCATTGCAAACGATTTTGAGACATGTCATTCAAAGTCTCGAACCATTGGTTACTTTTGTTTCGCGGACCACAACCAGGTAATCTACACCTACTAACAAGGCTTAGTCTACTTGTCAATGACTTCATGGATTTGTGCCATGTTTTGGTCTGTCCGCTCCTATCTTTCTTTAAGCCTAACCCTACACCACAAATCATAGCTCGTCGAGGCAGTCGGTGGTTAGGCATACGTAACACGTCCTAACCATATGAACTGATGAAGTTTCAATACTTCATCTATCGATCTGCCATCCTTACCTAGTATTCGTTCCCTAACGACAGCGTTGCTTATTGAGTGGACTCAGGATATATGATCGATGCTTCGAAGGAACCTATGATTCAATACTAATAACCTACGAATATCCTCAATTCTTACCGGCAATGTTTCACAACCATAAAGTAGGACGGAGCGAACTGCTGCGCAGTACACTCGTTCTTTAGTCAGCAAACGGATATCTCGTCTACGTAATAAGTGACGCAGGTTGGTAAAAGCCAATCGAGCCTTCTGTATCCGAGCTGAGATTTCGTCAGTCGCCAGGCCATCAGTACTGATGATACTCCCAAGATAAGTGAAGCGGTCAACACGCACAATTGCTTCACTCCCTATCACTATTTCATGTGCCGACGGGGAGAATCGTATCCCGAACATGCTTGCATTGTTGCTTAATGTGTTCAGAAGATCAAATAGAACTATGTCAAACACACAATAAAGACTTTATTTACTTTGTAAACAATATTTCATATCTTATTATTGTAACATTCACTACTAACTAATTTCGTTTTCAAATTTCTGTTTAAACAGTTGTATTGCATACATTTTTATACTCGTTCTTTTGTTTGACTTCTACATACTCATGTGTTATTACGTATAATTCAATCAAAGATTTCGCACCAAAGCCGTCAGAAATAAAATTTTTACACTATCATAGTTATATAAGTAATACTTCTCACTCAATATGCATAGATCTATGCAACTCGGCTTTGAGCCAAGTGTATACATGATGGTTAATGATATTACTGTGCTTCTCAAATTAAATTAGATAATTTAGGATTCAAACTTACTGGATTGTATACTATTATATCTTCTATAATGTACTTGAACTTACTGTTATTGTTTCCGATTATGTTTAATTGTTTAATCCCATGTATTCTGTACTTATGACAGTTGGATATTATATATAAGCTAGTGTAAAGTAACAATTTGCACAATGACACTTCCACCGTTCTTCGTATAATTGCATAGTAAGGATTCTTATTGCTTCCATATACATCAATAAATAAGTGATCGAACTAACATAAAAACATTAATTAGTTCATGTGAAGTAACACTTGCATTTTAGTTTATCAGTCTATGAAGAAATGTCGACAGACTAAATTACAAAATTTGTTATTTCATCCTAGTAAATGCATATATATATATATATATATATATATATATATATATATATATATTTATAATTTTCATTTAAAAACATTTCTTATCATTTTATTCATTCATTAGTCGTGGAGATGGTGTAAATTGGCGTTATCGAGTGAATCAATCATTACAAAATAATAATTTAGAAGTTGGTAGTACAAATTCACCAATGTTGTCATCTATCAAATTACCCCAGAATAATAATAATACTAATAATAATCAGGAAGAATAGATCATCAACAAAGTAATTTGAATAGTAGTATACTGCTGAAAAAAAAAACAAATTCATTGTATAACTTTGTACTACATTGTTTAATCTATTTTTCTTTGTTTTGCACGAATAATTCTTTTGATATATATATATATATATATCTTATCAATGTTCAATATTCAATTATATGTACTGACGAACTATTTTAAAGCATTAAGTCAATACATACATGTATGTATATCTCTTATATGAATGAATATAAAAGTTACATTTTCTATGACAGACGACAATGCATCAGTGTGCTTTTTTTTTCTTAATACTTCGTTCTTATTTATATGTGTCTCTGTGTTTTCTTCTTCACTATGACGAAATGATCCCTTATTTGTCAATAAAGATTGTTTCATTCTTTGATTGCAGAAAAAAAATGTTTCTTCTGTCTTGTTTTTAATAATCTTAGTTCATTTTCATTATCATCATCATCAGCAGCAGCAGCATCATGAAAATCATGGTCGAGTGTGTTATAACTAACCAATCAGTCACCGTAATTATTGCATACATTTTCTGTTATCTTACTTTCTATTTGAAAAATAATCTCTTCATTCATCTGAGAATTTCATTTTTAATTTCAGATTGACTGTTGTTTCATTCAATTTCCTTTTTTTCATATATATATATATAAATGTACACATTCATATTTTTTAAGAGAATTAATCATTATTTATTAAACAATTAAAGATGATCCTATAATGTGTCTATATAACATTATTAAAAACAATTTTTGTCTTATATAATAAAATTAACTTGCTATTTCATAAGAAATAATCAAATATATACATAGTTTTATATATCTGTTGCTTAGTTTTATGAGAATTATTTGTGTTAATTAGTTGTTTTTTTTATTTTATTTACATTTCTTAATTGCATTCAATAGCTTGGTAGACTCCTGTTATTTTAATCTCTTACGGTGTAGATATTTTCACGAATTCTCTATATTATGCGGTTTAAACATAGTTATGAATCAGTCTCTAAATATGAAGACTGATGAGATAATTACTACCCGCTTGGCTATGCTAAAATAAGTGAAGTGGAGTTGGAATCGAGAGCTTAGTGGTGGAAAATCAAACGCTCCAACCACTGAACCACTTCTTCATCTCGATTTCAGCGTTGGTGCTTAATTAATTAAATGTTTAATTGTATTTTCGATGATTCATCTGAATGTTAGAGTACTTTTTTCTCTCATAAATATATGGTTTTAATGAAAGTTTCTAGACTCAGAAGCATGGAGTATGTGTTTGTTCGCGAATAATAACATTGAGACCAATGCCAAATTTCATATAGTGAGTAAACTACCTAATCGATCGAAGCGTTATTGATGTTTGACATTAATCATCATGTGACATGTAGTCACATTTACGACAGAGTAATTATATAACTTAATCAATGAGTTATATCTGTCGGTTATACCGTGCTTAGTAGTTGTATTATTTCGTAAATAATTATCCACATAGTAAGTTAATTATTAATTAAAGATAAATACTACGTAGTTCAAACTACATAAATTTGCAGTTGGTGTAGAGCCAAATTAGCTGATATTTCTAGTCAGTATCTAATTTCTTCATCTATATATTCAAAGATCTTAACTAAGTAGTACCACAGATCAACACTAAATGATCTAAAAAAAAGGAATTATAAGATTGTTGTTTTCAGATCAGCCAAATGTTCAGGTGTCATCGTAATACATCGAAATGATTACGTGCAGAAGCTGCTTCAAGTTCTAAACAATACATTAAGACTTCAAGTTGGTATATCTAAGAAAGATTTTACTGTGTCAACTGAAGTCAGTATTGATAAATGTCTTAAAGAACTTCTAAAGTTAAAGTTGAAACCGATTTTGTAAGTATTTGAATTAATTAATCACATAGTGGATATTCATATAAAAACTAAAATAATGTGCTTCTTTGATGTAATCACTTTATTTACAAATATACCTCATTGACAGACTAATGATATTTTTTATGACTGTATCTCAATTAATCGCTTTCTATTGCCATTTTCAGTAAAAAAAACTCTTAAAGATTTGTTATTATTGCATACTGACAGTGTGCAATTCACTTTTGAGAATGAGAATTTTCTACAGATTGACAGTTCATCTATGGGCAGTCCTGTGGACCTGTGCTAGCTGATACGTTTATGGTACATGTAGAAAATCTGGTCGGAAACTCAATCCAAAAGATGTGTCTGTATAAGCGGTATGTGGTTATCGTCATAGTCATAAGTGACAGTCGTGAAGATTCGGACTGATTGTTGAAGGAACGCAACTTATTCAAAAGCATGTTTCTCTTACATGCAAAGATAAATGATCATCTTTCTTTCCTAGACATTCTAATTGATAGAAGAGATGACAGTTACGCCAAGCGTTCTATGCATAGACAGCTTACATGGATAGGGCAGTACATCATTTTTCATAGTCACTGTCTAGTCCATTACAAAAGCCGATTAACAAAGGGTTTATTCAATACGGACAATTGTATTTGGACTATCGATAGTATTGAGGGACATATAAAACTCTACTGAAGCATTTATGAATAGTGGTTATCTATTAAGGTCTATAAACCGCCATGAAGGCAGAAATATGTCTAGACCTACTACGTTGTTTACGCACCTATAAAAGAGGTGCCTCAAATAGTCTTATGCTGAAACGAATACTCAAAGTAGCTATAAAGAAGACATTAACTCAGACCGACATATCATGATCGGAAAATCAAAGTTCATGTTTCACTAAAATCCCAAACAGCATATAAATGACTGTGTCACATTTTATTGCATCTATCAATTTGTATGTATATGCGGATACCAGAGCAAACTCTTTAGCCTCGTGCAAAAATGTTCAAAGGCATACACCTAAGTCTGTTGAAGGTTGTGCTATAGGAAAATTGAAAGCCCATTTGTGTCTTAAAGCAATTTATTCTTACTCTTAACATTTTTTTTACTTCTTTATTGTCTTTGTTTAGTTGATCTTTTTTCTTATATAATATCATAACAAGTAAATGTGTTGTTATCAGATTGTTCAATATGTATTGTGCAAATACATCATATAATTTTGATAACCTTCATCTTCTCATCGCATTATCTAAATTTATCAAATGGATTAATTGTTTTAAAGAAGTTGATTGTTAGAACTAATTCGTAGAACAATGGTTACTCATACTTCAAAGACACATTCCACTTCTCTGAAGAAATCAATCATCTGGATAGATTAGATAAATTTGTGATCTCATTCAATGTTTGTTCGTTATTTACAAATGTACCAATAGAAATAAGCATCAATGTAATATTTTAGCTTACTGAATTACTTTTCTCCAATATGGGTTGAGCAAATTACTACTACCACACGCCGGAGGGGTTCACTTCAAATTCTATGACCATTTATACAGATAAATTAATAGTTTGAGCATGGAATCAAACAGTATGGCCAATTTTCACCAACACTTTTGTAAAAAAATGCGAACAAACGAAATTTAAACAGGAAATTGAAGATGTAACATTCTGCAGAAAGTATGTCGACGCTTCGTTTACTGTTTGTAATAATATGAATCGTCTTCATATTTGCTTTATCAGTTTAATAATGGAGCACATGTTAACATTAAATGCACGATAGAGTATGAACGTAATGATTATTTTTAACCAATTAGATCAGAAAATCAAACAAAGGAACGACGAAACAACCATGGAGGCTATATATTCAGAAAAGAATCTTGGACAAGGCAATACTTAAATCATAATAGTTCTTTCTGTCAGTTATAAATGTTTAGTCAATATCCTGTTTAATAAGGCTTAAATGTTATGTTCAACCGACAAAATATAAGAAGAAATAAAGCAAGTTGGAGAGAAAATGTTAATCCAATTAAATTTACAATGATGTCTGGTAAAAAGATTACGACAAGCACCGAACATACAACTAACTGTTAACTGTCTTTCATCAGTCTCGCATTCAAATATGCAAAGATTTCAGGCAGACTCAATGAAAGGATTAAATCAACGCCTAAGAGAAATTCCTCCTGCAATGTATAACAACAGATTTTCCTTAAATCAATCAAACATGGATCTATATATTTTTGAGGTCACCTTCAAGTATATTTGTGAATATACGTATACTAGTAAAAGCAGTTACATAGAAAGAACTGAAAGAAGAACAGGTACAAGGTTTTCCGAACATGTTCCCCGTAAGTTGTGTCATTAAATATTTGGCGGATGGTTGGTAAGACGCGGATATGTCAGGAAAATGTGAAATAATTAGTAAGCGGCGTGTACCGTTGCAATCAAGCACGTCCGACCCGATCTTTACATACGGAAAGAAGGTGTGATAAACCTCTCACTACTGTGGTAAGATGTTTATATTAATAGTACACTAATCATTTACATTATCACTTCAATTTTGTTTAATACGAATCCTATTGACCTTCACTCAAGACGTTAACTTTAATGTTATATTAAGTAGATACATTGATTATCACTCATTTGATAATAATTTGTTTTTATTCATTGTCTTTTTATCATCTTTTACAACTTCACTCCCCTTGTCACATTTTATGATTTCGTGTTTGGCATGCTAATCAATATTGATTATTACGTCAAATATGTTGTTGTTTTCATAATAATATTACTCATGTACTTTCAAGCTGTTTGCAGCTGATGAGAAGCCCTGAAAATATTGTTCTTCTCGCTTTATTTAAATGTAAAGATTCCCATTGTGAAAATTAGAACAACACATTTAAGCGAACAATATTGTTTTCGATGCCAAACTTGCATTGACATTCTCCTGTCGACCATCGATGTCTACTCAAACGAAGGATAAGTTACCTGAGTTGGCCTCCTCTTTGTGCATTTACAAATTCAGCTGCTCCTGTGGAGATAGCTATATCGGGCGTACTTCCAGGCAACTTACACAACGAATGAGTGAACATCTTCCAGAATCGTTTACGAAGGGTCAGTCAAAAACAATACGCAGTTCTATCTTGGCA